GTATACATATATATCTATGTTATATGTGTTTTTTATTATTTCTACATCTCAGTATTATCGTTCTTGGCATGTGATATTCATATTCTGATATTCTATTTTTAGGAACAAAACATTATTTATATCCATGTCATTTTTCTGATCATAAGAATTTAAAAATTCCAGCTGAAATTCTAAACAAAATGTTATTTATTCTTTAATAAATAAAATAAAATAAATTGAGTTCTTGAGATAACAAATAAATATGAATTAATGACAGACGATTGAAAGCAAAAATTCGACGCAGTTATTAAAGCATTATAGTTAACAAATATAATATATTTCATAAAGCCTTTACAAATAATAAGACAAAATTGAAAATTAAACTATTATGAAGAATCTTAACTTTCCGATCTGGTCTATTTTTAGATTAGATTGGAAACAGACAGAAAGTTAAGACCTTCATAATAGTTTAATTTCGTCTTATTATTTGTAAAGTCTTTATGAAATACATTTGTTAACTATAATACTCTAATAATTGCATTAAATTTTTGCTTTCAATTGCCTGTCATTAATTTAAATTTATTTATTTAGCTTTGTCTGATTATGTGTGCTTCTATTTTTTGTATGTGTAGGTTGGTGTACGCGGTGCAGATGTAGTAGTCTTGGGTGTTGAGAAGAAGTCTGTTGCTAAATTACAAGAGGAACGTACAGTGCGCAAAATATGTCTATTGGACGATCATGTAATTATGGCCTTTGCAGGTATAATAGAGGCTTAAAGATAAATATTGCTTTCGTATGTTGCAAATGAAATAATTGTTTTGAATTTACTTAATAGGTTTGACTGCTGACGCAAGAGTATTGATCAATCGTGCGCAAGTTGAATGTCAGAGTCATAAATTAACTGTAGAAGATCCCGTTACCTTGGAATATATTACAAGGTATATTGCAGGTACGATTAAAATTTACAAATTCTTGTAATAATGCACAACAGTTAATATTATACTAAGAAAAAATATGCAAAATTTCTATGCGATCGGATTACATCTTATGTTCTGTCAAGAGAGTATTTAAAGAGAAAGTATTTTAGCTTAAAATGCAATTCACTTTTTTCGCGTATTATCTTAATATATATATAGTTTTTTTTATATATATAGTTTTAATATATATATAGTTTTTTTTCTCTTACTCAATTTTTCAATCAATCTCATATAAAACTAAGCCATATTCAGAATTGAACTTGGGACCTGTTAACTACAAGTCAATTGCTTTTTATAATGAGCTACATATCACTCCAACAGAAAATTAAAATTGTTATTATTATTTACAGGCTTAAAACAGAAATATACACAAAGTAACGGCCGTAGACCTTTTGGAATATCCTGTCTCCTAGCTGGATTTGATTATGATGGTGTCCCACACCTTTATCAAACAGAGCCATCAGGGATATATTACGAATGGAAGGTATTTATGGATAAGATCGATTTTATGAATTTTTTACTGAATGTACTTGAATGTAATTATTTTTAATATTTAAAAATTTATATCAATCTGTCTTCCATAAAGGCAAACGCAACAGGTCGCAGTGCTAAAACTGTACACGAATTCTTAGAGAAGTATTATACCCCGGAAGAAGTATCGACAGAAAAAGGTTGTATAAAATTAGCTATCAGAGCGCTCCTTGAAGTAGTTCAATCTGGACAAAAAAATCTGGAAATAGCAGTAATGCGACGTGGACAGCCGTTAGAGGTATAATTGCAACTTGTATTTAACTATACATTTAATTCTACAAAATCAATTTAATCGAAGAAATCCATGTAAAACAAATTTACAGTAATAATATATATATAAAATTTTAGATGTTGGACACAGACACCATAGGTGAATATGTAACAGAAATCGAAAGAGAAAAGGAAGCAGAGGCGGAAAAGAAGAAACAGAAAAAGTGATGTCTCGTGTTCTATTATGCACTTTTACTATACTATTATTAATTAATTTTTCTTATAAAATAAATATATTGGAAAGAAATAGAGGAGGAAAACATACAAATGAAAAATGCGATAAGAAAAACTGAGACTTTTTTAATTCATACTATTTACTGTCACACAATTGTGTAAAACGTAAAAATACAAAACCATTCACTGCATGTTTTGAATTTTAAGGCTATAGGTTGATATTATATGAAGACAAAGATCACAATCTATTACAAGTTGCTTTTCAGCAATAAATAATTACATTTCATATCTATGTATATATCAGATTATCTTGTTAATGCTTTCACTTTATATGTAACTTGGTTTTTTAAGTGATAAATTATTTATTTTAATATAATACAAATATAAATTAACATTAATTGATAATACTAAATTTCAATAGATCTTTGCTATTCTAAATGCAATTTAACAAATAATACAAATAATTTAGTATATCTATTATCTTTTTTCAATGATTTGATATCAAAATATACTATTTTTATTCCGAGATGTATTCTGGTGACAGAGATCTTCCACGATGATTAAATACTTGAAAGGATGGTAGATTCCGCAGCGTCTCCCAAGATTTATTCTCCAAATCGACAACTGCCCGAATTTCTTTGAAATCGCCAGCAATGTACATAACGCCGTACATAACGATAAATAAACTGGCTATGCCTTGGATTAAAATCTAGTAACAGCAAAACATATCCTCTTAACATGTAATGTTCTAAGATCCTATCAGCTTGTTTGAATTCATAGAATATTTTATACAAAAATAAACTTTTAGCTTTCTATATGAGAAGTAAATATCATGAATTATAACTTACATCAATTGGCAAAGTAGTAAACTCTTGTTCAGTGATTCGTAAATAGGAACGATCTATAAAAAACAAGTTTCGGTTATTCATTTTGATTACACTATTCATTATCATCTCAGAAATTTGATTTGACTTATATCTTATTTTACTCCAAGTACAAAATACAAACAAAAACAAACAATATAATTTCATCATGATATTAAATCAGTTCTAACCTAAGAAAATAATAAACTGATAAAATAAAAGAATAATATGCAGATACTCACGTTGTGCCGCAGAATAAGCTGCATGTAATATAAACATAAATCCTACAAAAGTTATAAATTTATGTATAGCCGTAGCAGACATGATGAATATCACTGATGACGCATTGAAATTATACTTTTAATTCAACGACGCAACCGAAACAACAAGAGCGATAAAGCGATCAATGATTATTACTTCACGACTACGAACATCTGATGAAGCATTCCGAAAGATGCGCAATGGACAGTGACATGCCGATAGCATTTGATTGGTCGATATACAGTAAAATGCAATGCGTTGATTGGTCAAAATTCACCCCTCCTTGTTCCATCATGCGCAATGCTTCGCGATTCTGATTCCACCATACTACCTCTAGTCAGAAATGTCAGGATGGTTCACTCCAGTTTACTCCAGAAAAAAATCAGAGAATGGAGTGGAATAGAGAGGGCGTATCTCGCGCCCTATTTTTGACAAATCTCCGTTTAATAACATCTCTATATGCACAAACCGTGTATGTTGAACTATGCAGCCACAGATATTTTTAGGGGTAACACATTAACAATTGCCCAGTGAGAAATGATAATGATCACAACATCGATATCGATCCGATTGTTATTTCTCTGGATACAGCCATTGCACGGAATATAACAAAGAAAAAAATCACGAAGGCTATGAATATGTCAAGTTTCAAGCTTAAAATATTTATAATGTATATATAATACAAATATATAATTTTTCAAATAAAAAACTGAATAGCAAGAAATAAAATTACTCATCTTATATACTGAATTATTTATTACTTATATATTCTTACCATCAATCTTATTATTACAATTGTAATTTGCAAACCAATAAATTTTGTACGTATTCTGAGTTAATTATGATAATATAAGAGTTGAAAATATTTATTATAAACAATTCTTAAGAAACTTCTTATCGATTTATAATTAATTCACAATACTTAAATTTTAATCTTAAATTCCTTTTTCAACGAAATTATATTGAATGTGACATTTTATCAAAATTAATCTCTTACTGTCATGATTTAATTATTATTTATTGCCTTATACGTTAGATTGACAGTAATAGAATCGAATATTTAACACAGTACACAGATTAAAATTTAAATTTAAAATGATAAATTAAATGATTGTATGACAACATTATTGTTTTTCATGAAATAATACTAAAAATAATGATAAATCAATAATCAATAAATATGTAATTTATGAAAAACATATTTAATATTAAAAAGTGCCATTCTTCTTTATATCATAAAAATATTCATGTGTGTGTGTGTGTGTGTGTGTGTGTGTGTGTGTGTGTGTGTGTGTGTGTGTGTGTGTGTGTGTGTTATATATATATTTGTTTATTGGAAGAATACGTTTATTTGATCAAATGCTCTTGATTTTGTTATATCTAGTTAATATAATCATACGTATAAAAGAAGGATATTTGTGAGGTATTCAAGATAAAATTATTTATATTTATTTCATTATAAGTATTTTTATAATTACAAAACTTTAATTTGATATAATAGTAATTACTGATTTTATATAATTACTAATTATATTTTATATTTTAATCTATTACTTTAACAAACGATAACATTATGATGATCCGGAAAAAAATGTTTCATATACGAGTATGTAATTATATAGAATAGAATTTATTATTTCAGCATATTTACAGTCAAGATGGAGACTTGGTTTACATAAATTCTTAATTCATTCATACATCTATATCTCGTCTGTATCGCACATGTATATAATTATATTTAAAATATGTCCTTATATATAACATTTTTCAAAAGTGATAACTAAAATGGAAAGTTGATATGATTGCAACGTATATAAAAAATTCATTTTAAGTATATATATATATATATATATATTGTATAAATATATACAAATGTATGCGCATGTAATACGCAAAAATTCATAGACACATATCTATGACTAATTATATTCTGCATGTAAATATTTTTATACTGTTGTCAATAATATATTAATAATTTATTTGTTATAAAAATGATATTATATAATGAAGTATATAATTATATAATATTGTCATATGTATTACTGTGTAATACAAGTTTTCTTTGACATTACTATAATTATACACTATTTTATCAAAATAGTGTATTATATTATTTTACGTTATATTATTTTAAGCGCTTTATAACAAAATATTGATTTGTCAGTTGTGTGTTGTTCTTTCGCAACCATCTCATACTGATAATGAAACATTTCACATCAAGAATGAATTTAACTGCAAGTACAAAACTTTAACTCAAATCAATTATATTATTATACAAATTAATTATATTTACATTTGCGTCATATAATAATTGATACATGCTATAGAGAATGAATTAAATGCTATTCTATTGGCGAATATTATACTGTTATCACATTCTTGTGAATGTTAGTCCTAATGTAAAGAAGAAATGAGGCTCGTTAATTATCAACGTCAAGTTCCTAGACTGTATATTACATTTAAATATAAATGTAATAGACATTTAGAAAGTCGAAATTCCGGCAATGTATTTTTTAGGGATAAATGTTATAATTTAAATGTCTTCTCAATTTCGAGATATATCCGAATCAACCATTACTAGATTACTAGTAGTCCTCTCTACATTCAGGAAAGCAATAGTAAAATTCATATAATACTACTGGCATTTCTGATGTCTGTCTTATTACGATTAGAGCTATTTCAAATATAGGTTGCAATGGCTCCGCTGCGTATACGTAGGGAGTTGTACAAATGTTTCCGCAATAGATGCAATTATTGATTTTATTTTTACTTATATGTTCATTCAATTTATCCCATTGAAAAATTATATATTTATCTCTGTGAAAATACTGATTTTGTTTATTACATAAATTATCAAATAGGAACTGTGATATATCATATTTTTGCTAAAATTACATTATAGTACACAACAAGTCAAAAAAAGCAATGTACCTGCAATATTGCTGTAGTACTTTTGCTGCAAACTGAATAAGGCTTGGGAAAATTATCTTATTAATCCAATTTGAGCGACTGGCTACTAATGGATTCATTGAAATATCTATAGTTTGCAGTCGCAAATTAATAATCCCTGCTGGCAGATACATTAACATGTTATGCGACAAATCCAAAATACTAAGATTTCGAACCTTTTCAATGCCCTGTGGTAAACGTCTCAACATGTTGTGACTCATTTTTAATTCTACTAAGGCATTCAAACTCCAAATATATTCTGATATTTCGAACAGCTGTAAATTAATAATATTCATGATATCCGTGCTATTAATGAACTATTAATTGTTACTTATGACAACACCGTTTTAATTAGTGATTGTCGTGATATCTTATAATGATTTACCGAATTATTACTTATATCTAGAAAACGTAAAGTTTTCTTAATTTGTGCTTCTTTTAGCCATATCCATCCAGAATATCGACTCAAACAATTATGTGATAAATTAAGCCGTCGAAGACAATGTAAAGCGCCCAATTTTCTCGGTAATACATCAATTTTATTATTTGGTATATTGACTTCTGTTAAAATTAACCAGCTTGTAGTGTTATTCAAGCTCATGAACAGTGGAGTGATATAAAACTTTAAAAATAATAAATATATTTTTGTCAAATCTTGTAAACATTGTTTCTTAATTGGCATATCTTTAAAAATTGCACAGCTTTTTCTCTTATATTTAACCTATATTGAAAATGATTATTTAAATTAGATTTGTGATTGTTAAAGTCATTATGCTACAAGTTTAAATAATTATACTTAATATTATATAACTCTAATAATCTCATGGAATTTTTCAAGTGAAATGATTAATAAAAAATAAAAATATTTTTTATTAATACATATTATACCAATTATTCACCATTGTTCACAAAGATGTAAGTCTTATATTATAATTATATATTATTAAGAATCAGATAAATTTTCTAATTCAGGTTGCTAAAAAAAAAATAATATACGTAGCTGATAATATGCAAAATTTAAAGATCTTTGTCGTGAATATATAATTTGTCCAAGATTTCTGTAAAAAATCATAAAAGTTATTTGGGCTAAAACGATTTGATATATGTAAAAGACGTATGAATTTTCGTGATTTAGGCTTAATAAACACTTACAAATTATTACGTCCAATGTATCTCACGTTCTATTTGGGAAATAAAATATTTAAACATTTAGATAAAGGAAGGTTTGCTGCACATTGTCTTGTTTTTATCATTCACTTGCTTGTTTTATTGCTGCTTTTGTAGAAAAAGCACTTTAGTACTTCATAGATTTGTAATTCCTAATTTATAATGCGGTCCTAATTTATTGCGGTTTTCTTTTTAATTTTAAATTAGTTAAGATGATGTTCTGACACGAGCCTCGAGATAACTGTCATATTTGGTTATTACTTGTTGTTTTATACAATATTAAAGTGACACTAACACAAATGTGAAACAGTATAATGTAAAGGTCGATTTTAAACTAAAGATTATAACTGAAATTAAAATAATAACGCGCTCGTTACATTTATTTTTCAAAAATTCGGTTTTTTGAGACTTATAAATTGTGTTAGCCAATTTTCAAAATTTATGTAAATATATATAGTTAAATTTATGTTCAAGTAATAAATAGATATTTAAAAGATACATTATAAGTTACTTATTAGAGTATTAAAATCTAAAAATATACATTATAGAAACTAACTTAGAAATTATAGAAACTAAAAAGAAACAAATTATATTTAATAGGGCTCTCATTATATTTAATAAGGCTCTCAAAAAATAATAATATTTTAATATTAATAAACGAACAATGAGAGCATTAATACAACGAAATTTAGAGTATATATAATATATATAGAGTATATATAATATATACAATACATATAATATATTCTCAATAATTTTACATTACGTATCTATACAAACTTCTTGAACGTTTCGGTTTCCTTCAAATCATCGTTAGCAATGCCTTTGTAATATTCACAGTCTGCAGATATTGGAATTGTTTCTAGAATGTTAGATAGAATGTTAATTAGAAGATAGACATACTCAATTAGGAAGTAGAGGTTCATCCTTTGTCTAACATAAGAAACTATTTGCAACATTTGCGCACTATAATATTGCAAAGATTTTGTATGATAAATTATATGGCATTGTTGATGATAATTCGAAGGAAACTGAAACGTTCCAGAAGTTTGTATAGAGATGTAATGTAAAATTATTGAATATACTGTGTGTATTGCGCTCCAAGTACCGTGCTGTATTAATGTTCTCATTGCCCGCTCTTATTGCCCGTTGTTAATATTTTATTATAGAAATTATTCAATACATACAATTGTAGCGAGACGTATTGATTTGATTGAAAACATAAATATTTACAATATATAAAAAATACTAATAAAAATATAGAGTTTTAAATATTTTAAAGCATTATATATGGAAATATTTTATTTCAATATATATAATAATAT